CAATAGCAACAGCACCACCACCACCACCACCACCAACACCAACAATAAAATCCACATCAATAACAACATCAACAAGTGGCATAAGCAGCAGCAACAGCAACAACTACAAAGTCAACAACAACACTAAAGACAAAAACAACAGCAACAAACAACAACAACAACAACAACAACAACAACAACAACAACACAAACAACAACAACAACAACAACAAAACAAGCAACCACAAGAGACAACCAAACACAACAACCACTTCCTCCCTACAACAAGTCAGAACGGACTAATGTTCTCCTCCTTCCCCCCCCCTTACCTCCTCCCTCCCCCATGTATGTTTGAGTTTTATTTGTTCTATGTTTCATTGAATTTTGCTCTGAGATGCCTTTAAGTGAGTCATTGAAACAAGCTCACTGGTAAAAGTTTGAAGAAAATCTGTGACGCTGATCAAAAGTTATCTTTAAAAAAACATTTATCTTTTTGTTGATCAGTTGGATGAGCTATTGTAGTCGTAGGACAATGGGCACATTTTGAGGTAAACTGGGATTCAACGGTGAACTCCCCGCGTACGGGTCAAACTAATAATAACTTTTTCACAATGGTCAACTTGTCCACCCAGATTGTCCATCCTGTTTTGACCAAAGACCGCTGACAAAGGTATCCAGGATACTGCCCCCCCCCCAGCCCTCTCTCCAAAACACAAACAATCTATATACAATCTAACGGCTTTGACATAGAGTTTTCTAGCACTGAGTCCGCGTTCACTCTTCCCTCAAGGTCGTCCCTTTAAGACACTTTCGTCCATCTCGCTCGCCACCGGAAATTGTGCGGGCCACATCTGCCAGCTCGATATCGGACGAGCCAGGAGTTGGATGTCTTATCGAGCAGCCAATAGTGTGAGGAATGTATCAGGGCGCGGTGCAAAGAGGCGCTCTTCAAATTTTGGTGTTGTTAGTTTTGGGTATACAGAGTCGTTGGTATCATCTGAAATCTTTTTTTTTGGTATTATTTTATATGAAAAATAAAGGCTAAGCTATCTTCAATGAAAGTCGAGATATTTGCGAATCATGGAGATATGGGTCGCCCAGTTTCAGAATTAAATAAGCGACAAAATGTCCCCCAAATATTCTTGATTTCCACTTCTTCAGAGTACTTGGAAACGGAAATTTGCATTTTTGTACTTTTAATCAAGGTTTTTCCAAAAAAAGAAAAAAAAAAAATCCCCCACAAAAATGTGTTTTTAAATAGTGCTAGATCTAGGTAACAAAAAAAAAAAAAAAGAAAAAAAAAAGGATTCAATACGAATTGCTATACTGGCAGGAAAATGCCGTTTTCTTAGATTTCATTACTTTGACGAGCAGCTGATTTCACCACGGTGCCTCTCAAATAAGACCTTCTTGTTCTACACTACAGGTGGAAGTGCCTTGACCGTACGGGAAACACTGGCCACAGGGTGATAACTCTCCGGTACTCCGCCGTCCCCAGACAGAACCACGTACCTGTCAAAATCGAGTTTTTCCGGTTTTATTGTTTTGTTAGACGATTTTTGCATATGTCCGTGTATTTTTTTTTTTTTTT